GGAGGGGGCGGGCTGGCGCTCCGCTGGGTCCCAAAGCCTGACGCATTCGCTCGGCCGCCCGGGACGAACTCTGCTCCCCAGCCTCGACCTTCACACCCCTCCGGAGTCTCCCCGAGAGACTCTAGCTCTGACCTGGAAGCGCGGGAGGAAGGGGCGGGAAAGGCCCTGGGGGCCTTGGCTTCATTTCGACTCCTGCCCTCAGATGCGCCCCCTCAGCCGGCCTGTCTTCTGACCCTCCTCTTCCAGTTCAGCCCGTCAGTCACCGGGCGGGCGCGCACTGTGTGCACGCTGCAGGGTGTGCTAGGGTCAGCCAGGCTCTGCTCCTCCACCCCGCGGAAGACAGCAAAGTGTGGTCACTCTCACCCACTCTCCACTGCTGCCGTGAAAGGCAGACCCGGTTAGCGCAAAGCCAAGCCCATCCCCACCAGAACTTGACCTCCACTCCCTCAGACTGCTGTTCTCTTCTCCAAATTGAGGGCAAGATCGCCAGCGTATTTATTTTAAAACAATCATCAGCGTCATTTCATCACCAATAGCTAACATTTAACGTGTTAGACTGTGCTCTAGGAGTTTTGCTTGCATCCTCAAAACTTAACTCTCATAACAGTTCTAGGAGGTAAGTTCAGATTCCCCCCATTTTATAGATGAGATAGCTGAGTAGCCTGCATTACTCAGAAGCAAAATTTGGAACACAAAGACAGAGTCACCGGCTGGGCAACCATTAGTGAGCTAGGTATGAGGCTTACAGTCCAATGTGAGCCCACAAGCAGACAAGCACCGCTAACAGGCACTGTGTGCGAAGTCAGGGTGCTGGGGAGGGCAGAGGAAGTGGGCCAACTCATTAGAGGAGTCGGTGAAGCTTCACAGGAGGCAGGTTTCCAGGAAGCAACCTTGAAAGAAGTAGATTTTGGAGGCCAGATGGAGGAAGGTCATAGAAGAAAGCGTGGAGGCAAGGGAAGTCAGGAGCAATGACAGAGGCTTGGGAAGTGAATCCAGGAACCAGGCAGGAGCCACAAGTGAAAGCCGGTGAGAGAGGAGACCAAGAAGTTGGTCACAAAGGTCTGATTGCTAGGATGTTTGGATCCAGGCCCTGTGCTGGATGGGCAGGTGTTGAAGGGTCTTCAAGCAGGGCAGGGCCTGGTCAGGTTGCATTTTTGAGCCTCTGGGGTGGGGAGGAGGGGCAGGGAGCTCTGAGAGACATCCCAAGTGTTTTCACCCCTTGGGTGGGACCGTGCATCCTCCACCATGACCTTCTCTTACTGTGAGCTCCCGCTCCCTCCCATAACCCAGTTTTACTCCTCCCTTTGGGCTCTGCATTTTGGATATCTTCCCAGTTGCTCCCTTCTCTCTCCTGTCCAGGCAGAAAGCAGAGTGGAGTATGAGCCTGGGCTTCGGAATCAGACACATCTGGATTTAAAGCCTGCCTCTGAGCCAGGCGCAGCAGCTCACTTTGGGAGGCCGAGGCGAGAGGACTGCCTGAGTCCAGGAGTTAGAGACCAGCCTGGGCAACACAATAAGACCTGGTCTCTACAATAAATAAAAAAATTAGCTGGGCATACTGGCCCATGCCTGTAGTCCCAGCTACTTGGAAGGCTGAGGCAGAAGGATCACCTGAGCCCAGGTCAAGGTTGCGGTAGCCTTGAGTGTGCCACTGCCCTGCCTCTGCCATTTAGTATTGTGACTGAAAGCAAGTAACCTGCACTCTCCAAACTTGACTGCCATTTTTATTGAATGGAGATGTGATTAGTTGTTCCCTATAATTACTAACAGGGTGAAAATGAACTAAGGTATGTAAGTCCTTAAAGCAGTGCCTGGCATGTATTAAGTCTCAGTATATGGCCTTTATTTTGTCTTGCCTTTTTTAGGGACACACAGCCATCCTAGGGGAGGCTGAACAACACCCTGGGGAAGTTCCATCTATTCTAGGTGGGTTCCCAGGGGGTCAGGATGGGGGTATGCGGGAAGGGCCAGGCAGCAGCCAGAAACAAGCCCAGGGTTCAGAAGGATTTGGTCTTCTCCTGGGGTGCCACTTCTTGGGGAAAGAAATCAGATTTTTTTTTTTTTTTTTTTGAGTTGGAGTCTCACTATGTCACCCAGACTGGAGTGCAGTGGCACGCTCCCGGCCACCACAGCCTCAACCTGCTGGGCTCCGGCGATCCTTCTGCCTCAGCCTTCCAAGTAGCTGGAACTACAGGCACGCGCTAACTCTCCTGGCTCATTTTTGATTTATTGTAGAGATGAGGTCTCGCCAATTTGCCCAGGCGGGTCTCGAACCCGCAGGCTCAGGCAATTCACTCACCTCAGCCTTCCAAAGCGCGGGATTACAGGCTGAGCCACTGAGCCCGCCTAAGAAATCAGATTTTAACTGGTTCTGTGGGATCACATGGGGTCACTAAAAGTCTCTTAACTTGATTAAATCGTCTAGGGCATCATCTATCCCCCATTGTATCTGAGATTCTTTCATCCTTACCCTGCCCGAGACTCCCAGGCTTTATGTCCAGTTCCCCAGGCCGTGGCCCTCCATTCTGGTTTCATTCTAGCCCAAGGTGGACTAGAAATAAGTAATTGTGCAATGCTCACACTCCTACCTTAGGGCCGGGCTTCTCAACTTAGCTACACTAGGGGAACACAAACCCACAGGTTAATTCTGGGGCCTTATACTGGCCTTCAGTGGTAGGTCATTTAAAGCATTATTTTTATTTAAAAAGAAAAAAAACAACAGTAATATCTACATAAAGAGGAACATCTGGCTGAACTTAAGGTACAGTGAAGTCATTTTGGTTTGCTCAGAGTCACACTGGGCTAAGAACATGTACTTCCAGGGACTGGTTTACGCTCTTCTATCGTGAGGATTACCTTGGTGGGAAGGTTTAAGAGGCCCTGTCTTTGGGGCTGTCTGACCTTGAGCCTCAGGTGGCTGAGGATGCCTGTTGGCAGAAGCATAAGCTCAGGTTCCAGGGGAGTGAGGCATGGCCCCATCTGCAGTAGCTGAGGCCCAGACGTGAAGTGGGACAGGAAGGTCAAAAGCCTGAACCTGCCTGCCTATCTCTGCCCCCACTCTCATAAGTTGAAGACCCCACTAACCTTTGAGGCCAGCTATTAGGGGTCTCTGACCATAAGTGGAGAGTGAATGTCACAGGGAGGGAAAGCCAGAGGCATTTTTTTCCTCTCTAAACCTACAAGTGGGAGAAGTGGGGTGAGTGGAGTTCTTTCAGCCCCAGAGCGTTAAGGAATGATCTAAGACGGCAGTCTTATCTCAGTATGATGCTCCTGGAAGCTAAGCCCTTGAAAGTCACTTCTTCAGCTGAGAATCTGGGTCTAACCAACACCCAAATTAGCCTTCCCCTTGTTGGCAGCATCAAGCACGGCAGGGCAAAAGCTAAATGAGAAACCGAGATGGCAAGTTTGAAGCCAACTCGGAAACTTTTCAAGAAACATCCTTGTTGCTAATAACATGTCTGGGGGCTGGCTGGGATTCTAGGATTAGTGTTCAGGAGATAGAAATGGGTAACAACGGGGGAGGTGTGATCTTCCCCAAGTGCCATACCAGGTATTAAAATAAACAGGCTCTTGCCTCCTGGAGCTGGGGGGTGGGGTGGGGGAAGGAATCTGGGTCCAGGCAAAATCAGAAAGAGCATTAATGCATGAAGTGCAAGTGGGAAGGCCCAGACCTGGGAGTCCTCAGCTGTTTTCTGACCTCAGAAACAATGTACCCGAGATCTCAGTATTTTCTAGTTGGCACTCTAGGGGCAAGAGGACAGTGCAATCTCAGTTGAGTCTGGGGCAGTGTGCCCCTAACATACTGGTATCCTGGAGGCTTTGCAAAGTAATGTGTGGCCAAGGACAGAGGTAGGAGAGAGCCCATTATAGAACCTTCAGTGGATGGAGGAGGCTGGAGTGTACATTAAGGACATAGGGAGTCAGAAGACATGGTTCTGCTGCATCCCACCTGAAAAACGGGGATAGTATTAAATTCATGAGATAGGCAAGGGAATAAGCAGCCATCATGTGCATGGAAGTGCTTTAATCATGTTCAACTGCCACAGAACACGAGTATACTGCAGAAGAGGCAGTAGGCAAATCAGATGTAAGCCACTCTCTGGCAGTGACTCTTAACTCTGGCTGCACATTAGAAACCCCTGGGGAGTAGAAGGGAGTGGGTTTAAAAGTAGAGTCCCCAGGCTTCATCCCAAACTGACTGAACATAGCCATTGGTCTTTTGAGAGCTTTCTAGGTGATTTTATCCCCCGAGTTGGGGTCTCACCCTGTCCATCAGGCTGGAGTACAGTGGCATGATCATGGCTCACCACAGCCTGGACCTCCTGGGCTCAGGTTATCCTCCTGCCTCAGTCTCACAAGTAGCTGGGATTACAGGTTAAATTTTTTATTTTTTGTAGACGTGAGGTCTTGGTATGTTGCCCAGGCTGGTCCCAAACTCCTGGGCGTAAGTGATCCTCCTGCCTCAGAGACTTTGAGTGCTGGGATTACAGGCGTGAGTCACTGCACCTGGTCCCAGGTGATATTAATGTGCTACCTGGAGTTGAGAGCCTCTCCCTGGAGTTTTTCTTTGTCCAAATTGGCATCACTCTTAACTGGTGACCCCAGTTAAATCTCATAAGTCTCTCTTTTCGTATCTTTAACCCCGACCTCACTCTTCTCCAAGAGTTATTCCTATTACAGCTTGGACTAACTGCAACCCAATAACAAAGAAACACCTATAAAGTTCCCAGCTGCCCTCACAGGGTTTGGACATCCAAGTAGTAAAGGCAGCTGCTGTTCCCGAGTACCTACTAAATGCCAAACACCGTGCAGAGAACTTTATCTCACTCACTCTAGTGGTGGGAGAGGTTCAGGGACTTGTCCAAGGGCATCCTGGTTAGATCCCCCACTCCAGACTGTGGGATATTTCAGCAGTTAGAACCCAGAGATGGGGACTCTTTGTGTTGACACCTGCCTAGGTCACGCCCCCAGCAACTCAAATGAGGCTTGCTTTAAAGTGGCATTTATTCCACTTGCTTGGGAATATACAGGTCCTGCGTTCACACCTGAGAAGCTTTTGTAAGCCAAGAGTTGAGTGAGACATCCCAGGTTAACAGGAGACCGATGAGAAACTCTGCTGTGCTCCTCCTGCCCTGGGCCCTGCTGGCTGGTTGCCTACCACAATCAGAAAAAGGCCACTGCTGCTCTGGCTAGCGCCCCTGGGACCATCTGCCTGGGAACCGGCAGGGAACCTGCCAGGGAAGATGAATTGACTTCCCTGAGCATTCCCTTCCTGTGGACAGACGCCTGTGGTGGTGGTGGTGGTGTCTGGGACTGTCATCAGAAGCCTCCACAAGGTATAAAATTCTCCCTCAAGTTAATCTTAATTTCAACTGACTGAATCCCTGAGACGGCTAGGGCAGGGTGAAAGTTTTTTTTGTTTTTTTTTGTTTTAAAACAAGCTCTGCCAAGTTTTATTATAAAGAACAATTTTGCATGATTTGCTTTTCACCAGTCTGTTCTGGCATGCTTCTAATATCAGAATCACCTGGATCAATGATAGTCAGTGTGTATACTCTGTAGTATTTTCCACACGCTGTGCCCAATTCAATATTATTGCCACTGTAATGATGGACACCAGTATTGGCCAACATAGCGTAGTACTCTATTTCAGATTTCCTCAAAGCCGGGCAGTTGTTGGCGAGGATTACCAACTTCGCTTTGCCTTGTCGGATCATCTTCGGAGTCTGTTTGTACCCCAACACGTACTTTCCACTTTTCATAACGAGTTGGAGTCTTGAGTTGATGGACTCCAGCGACTTTTTCATCTTCTTTGCGGCCACCATCTTCCTGCCTTAGGTGCGGGACGGCCCCAAACCAAAAGCAGCCGCCAAGATGGCCGGGGAACGAGAAAAGGGGTGAAAGTTTTAATAGAGTGGTTATTAGTGTTCTGTCCCTTCCCTGGTCAGTTGTGTTTTGTCCTAGAGTATCAGTTCTGGGAACAAAGCACATCCCACAAACTTTATTTTGTGTAAATGAGAGTTTATTGACGAAGACACAAGGTCAAGCTTCCCCAACCCCCACCCTCCCCAAGAACAGATCCCAACAAAAACAGGGATAAGAAGCATTCTCAGGGTGACATTTACCCCTCCCCCCTCCCCATTTCTCTCCAGAGGCCCAAGCTTCACAACACAGACACACAGAACAGGCTTGGGTGAGGACAGACACTCAGGGAACCTCTGACCAGCAAGAGTTCTGGGTGTTTGTTTCCCTTGCCCTTTGTACGATACCAGCTGACATTACAAAGACATACATAGGCAGAGGAGAGGGGAATGCAGGGCAACCTCCACCCTACTCCCCCAATTTGGCCAAGCTTGGAATGGGCCAGAAGGGAAGCTGTGGCGGAGGCAACAGGCTCTGTCTCTTGGGGGAAAGTTCCTTTTATGTGAAGTAGAATCCTTCCCTAACTCTGCTCGGTGGTGTGGTGCCACAGGAGGCAGCCTTCCCAAGGAGCGAAGAGTTCGTGGACTGGCTCAGGCAGGTCAGCTGAGAACAGCAGCTGTTATCCATCACTAGCGGGAGGCTGAGAGAAGCCTAGTTTCAAGGGTTGAGGGACATATCCTGGTACAAAATTGTGTTGCCTGCTTGCCCTGACATACTCTTCCTTCTGAACTAGTTTGCTTTGAGATGAGAACACAGCATTTGTAGTGTGAACCTTCACTACTTGTATCCAACTGGTTCTATGAATGAGTCCCAGCAAGGGAACTTCATCAACCTGCTTTTCAAGCCCCCACATCACCAACCTCCCCACGTCCCACACACTATCCTGTGCTAGTTCCTATTGCCCACGCGTCTGAGGTGTGGTGAGTGAGGGACGTACTTTCCTTTCTCCCACCCCAGTGATTTTTCTCTTGGAGAGTCTCAAGATTGATCTGGGGGACCCAGTCTCACAAGCTTTGCAACTAGTGTGAAGACGGGTCACTTCAGACATAACAAGACCGGTGGTCAGGGGTGGGGGGGTTAGTTTTGGCTTGTTTTCCACAATTCCTCCTCTGAGTCCAATGAGTCAGGTCTGAGTCCACCATGAGGCCTCTGGACCCTAAAATGCCTCTGATTTGAGCAGGGGCATCTAAGCAGTCTTGGTCATGGACCCTGAATGCTGGGTGCTGGACAATGCAACAAGTGCCCAAAGACCAAGTGGTGTGAACATGGCCAAACAGGTTGGTGTTCTGGGCATGGAGCGTTCTTTGACAACTCATATCCAATGTGGTAAGTGAGGGAGAGATTTCATATCCCCCAGTCTTTTCAGAGATGACAATAACTGCTTGACCCTCTAGTATGATCTTAATTTGCCTAGGAGTCCAAGTAACAGGAATAAAGAGCAGATCAGAGAGCTGAAAACATACAGAGAATTTTCAACATCTCTAAGTTCAACATCTCTGTACCCACTGGTCTGGCCTCAAGAGCTGAGGCTTTAGGAACATGTGGGGAGCATTAGCGCCTTCATTCTGGCATCTGGATTTACCTTCAAGTATTCAGAAGATACTCTGCTGTCACCTGATGCCAATGAACAGGTGCCCAAATCAGAATGGAGTATGCAAAGAGCCACAAAGCAGGCACAGAAAAGGCAGGAGGTGATGAGGGGAAAAAAACAAAAGACAGTCCTGCAGTGAAAACAACACTGATGGGGACTGAGGAGACTCAGGCTCAGCCCTGCCACTGAACAGCTGACAGGCCTTGGCAATACCTTTTTGCCTTTTATCTTTCTCCTTTGTAGAAAAATAGTTGGATAAGTTATTACTGTTTCAACTCTAAAATTCTATAATTTTAGACCTGAATTGGACCTGAGAAATACAGGGAAGGGGATGACGGGACGGCATTTTGGTTCCTGTTCCCCATCTCTACTCAAATTCTTTAACCAGTGTTACTGACAGGTGAGTGAGTACAGGGGAAAGGAATGTAGGAAGTTGCAACTTCTCTCAGCTCTGGTGCTGACAGACCCTGTATTTTTTGCCCCCTGAAACATCATTCAAGGATGATCATCATTCCCAACTGCAGAGCAATCAAATGAGATTATAATATGGAATGGGGGAAGCATGAAGGTTTGGCCAAGGAAAAGGAGTCTAGAGAGGAAAAAAACAACAACAGTGAAAATCCTAATGACCAGGGATAAGGTTGCCACAAGTACAATTTCTAAAAGGGTGGGGTAGGTAATCATCTCTTCTCCCAGGACTGCGCAGTTAATGATGGTCAGTTGTTTCAACACTTTCTACAGGTGACACTACTCCCTCAATTTCTCATATGTACAAAAATATAAAACAATAAAGTGCAGTCTATACTTCAGTGACACTTTTCCTTGCTTTAATATTTGTTGTCTTTTTCTGCTTTTGAAATGAGCTCTCGATTACAAAATATCCAACTACACTTAAAAGAGGGTGTAGAAAAAGCCAGCCATTGGCACAGCATGGAGAAGCCCACAAGTAAGGACAGACAGCAGCAGCAGGTGGCAAGAGGTGGAAGGCGATTGAAGCAGTGGTTACAAATGTTCACAGGAAGCTAAAACTATCCAACAGGTTGTGCCCTAATGTTAGCACAGGTTAGACTAGTCACTACCTTGGTGGGTGGCCTCAGTGTGTTTGGGTTCAGATTCTACACAGCAATACAATTTCTTCCAGTTAAGAGTTCTTGGTTTGCACTGATCACAGGGTGATTGCAGGATAATGGACCAGTCTATTAGTTTTTCAAAATGCTGTCGTAGACCTGATAGATGTACTGAGAGACTTCAGGAGCTCTGCACTTCAGTGACAGCTGTCAGGAAGAAAAGGAGATGGAAGATTAGCATGGAGGTTGGCATTAACGCTAAAGGCATTCAAGCACTCAGTTCAAGAAAATTTCTGACATAATGGGAGAGAAGTTTCTATCGCTGGAGCAGCCAAACAAAGTGATTATGTTAATAGGTACTGTGGGTTTTAGAATTTCAGTTTAACCAATGTCAAGTTGTTCTGTGCTTCTGCTTACTTCTAGGTAGGTCTATGAGATTAGAAAATAATCCAAACTCAAAACATCAAAGCCTCTGAGGGAACAGCTGCTCTAGTACTTTGCTGAGAGTTATAGAGATTATTATGAAAAATGTCAGCCAGGTAAATCCAAGGTGCTGGTCCTTTCTGTATTATAAAGAGGAGTATATACACTCCCAAGCACAGAAGGCAAGAATACAAAAACACATTTACTTAGTATAACCCAACCACAATTCACATCAACAGTTAATCTTTTATTTTCTGCCTCTTAAGACAGGCAAATCAGGGGAGGGAGGGGCACACTTCAACAAGGGTATCTGCATAATGAACATTTGTATACCTAGCCCTGAATTGCACCCACATCTTAAAAAAAAAAAGACAGGCAAATCAGACACTTCCGATACCATTCTACCCTTCTATCACCATTCTCGACTTTTAGTCTAACAACTGCAAAATTAAACATAAATATTAAACAGATATCAGTGTTGGATATTAAGAGTTTCACTTTGCAAGTCAATAAGGACAAAACTTAAACAGAAATTTGGACTTCTTAGTTGTACTGGATTAGGCAAAGTATTATTAACAGTAACATGAACATGCAAAATACACTCTAGGACCAGAAAATTCAGTACTTTTTTTTTGTATCACTGGCATTATTGCTCTTGTTTATTAGGGCAGATCAATAAAAGCTGTCTTAAATGATATATCACCATGAGATTTTTAGATGATTTTACCTCCTTATTCTCTTATTAGAGACTTTGGGTGATTTAACATAGCACAAACAGTGAGAATATCTTTGGAAAAAAGACCAAGAAGATATTGATTAATGTTGAATTTCCTGAAAAACTAATATCCTAAAAAGTTAAAGTAAAACTTAAAAATGCAAAATACAAAAGCCCAATAAAACAAAAGAACATCAAAAGATGTTCTTTAATACTCAGTGTCTAAGGCTCCAAGGCATTTCCAAAACTGCTGCTTGATATTAGTCAGGAAGACAATACTGATAAATGTAAAAAACAAAACAGTTAATTTAAGAATATATTTAAAAAACAGTTCCCTACTTTGGTCCAAATAGCAGTTTTAGGCATTTCCCCGACTTTCAAACTCCCTATGGAAGCAATTCTTGTACCTCCTCCTCAGTCTTCTCCACTGCCAATGTTGTGGAAAATTCTAGTGGGAGATATGTGGGTTCAGAAAAGGAGGGGGAGAGGAAGCTATAAAGAGAAACAACAGCTTAAGGGAGTTAACTCCCAGACTAAAGAGGGGTAGTTCCTCTCCCCCAAAATACTGTCCTGTATTTTTTCACAACTTTATAACCATACTTGAGGTTCTACCAGTTGGAGGTTCATTTCTTTTCCATGACTACTAAGGAAATGTTGCTTTCCTCAACAAAAGCTCGAACTGCTAAGGCAGGCACTGGTGGAGAGTCAAGGACTGACCAAACCTAGACTCTGAGCATTATGGCTGCCCTTGAACCTCTCCCTCTCTCTGGACTCCTAAACCCCCCCGCCCCCCCATTGCCTACACTCTAGCCTTTAACAAAGCATCAAATTTGGTAACTATATCTAGGACTCATTTTGATGGTTCCTAGGGGGAAAGGGGCTCTCCCTGATTCTTAACTATTGATCTATTAACTGTTTATGTGACATATCTTTAACATTAGCCACTCAGAATGCTGCCTATCTAGATCATCAAGGGCAGAAGAGTCACCTGTCCTGCCTAATTAAAGTCAAGGGCTCACACATCCACTTCTGGTATACAGTCTGGAACATACACTGCTTTACAAGTTATCTTTTCAGGTGAAATTTACCTACTTACAGAGATGTGAACTCACCCTCTGGTATTAAGAAACATACCTTCTTTTTGTTTGTTTTTTTTTGAGTTGGAGTCTCACTCTGTCGCCCAGACTGGAGTGCAGTGGCCGCTCCCAGCCACTGCAGCCTCGACCTGCTGGGCTCCGGCGACCCTTCCGCCTCAGCCTTCCAAGTAGCTGGAACTACAGGCAGGTGCTACCATGTCCAGCTAATTTTTGATTTATTGTAGAGATGAGGTCTCACCAAGTTGCCCAGGCGGTCTCAAACCCACGGGCTCAGGCAATCCACTCACCTCGGCCTCCCAAAGGCACGGGATTACAGGCTGAGCCACCGACCCGGCAAGAAACATACCTTCTTAATGAAATACAATAAGGACTGTGTTGGAGAGGGGAGTGCTTTAACAATCTCTGTTAGGAGACTATAGGAACATCAGTCCTTCATGTATTAGCACTGGCTCAACTAGATTTCTATCCTCCTTAATACCTTGCTGAAATCAGATTAATAGTGTAAAGGCTATTTAACATGATGAAGGGAAGGGAATTGATCTGAATGATTTCAGAGTCTGGAGTGCCACTTAGGAATGAATTGGACCTATGTCAAGTGCTGTGATGGGAGAGTTAGATGGTACAGTGGACAGAGGGAACCTAGCCACCAGATGGATGAAGAACAGGAAAAGGGACAAGGAAGTCTAAACAAATTCACCTTTTAAAAATATAGGGGAGGAAGGAAGATGAGTGTGGCTAAAATCTCACTGTATTCTCTCTCTTTTTAAAAAAAACTTTATTTGCATTTATTTTATGCTGAATTTATTCCCAGGCCATACGGTTTTGTTTCTTCAGTTTCTTCTGGGATGTCTTCTTCTTCTATACAACCTCCTCTTCTGGTTTAGGAACACTTTATTCTTTTTTAGTAAGAACCATTTCAGTGTGGCAGGGGAGTTCATGCATGAACTCTCTAAGTCCAGTGGCTCATCCTGGGGCTTTGTTCACCTGGAGGTGCTCAATTAACTGAGAATCTACATTTAAACCAATAACAGTGCAACCTTCTTAGGTCACCAATTCTGTGACCAGTCCCACTGTCTGCTGTAAGAACACTTACCAACTCTACCACTGTGATATGGAAAAACACAAGTGGCTTCTGAAAAGTGATTTCTTTCAGATACTTGGTGGCTTTTTGGATAGGCAAACCTTTGATGGCCTGGGCAGTTCCATAGATATTCTTAAAGTGAACACAAAGATTTGAACCCTTGATTTTTCATGATTTTGTGGGGTTTCTGGACCAAGTAAACAGAGATCATTTTCAGAGATCTGCTGCTTATGGGAAAAGCTCACTGTATAATTTTTCTTTTTAAAATTTTTCTTTTTTGAGTCAAGGTCTCACTCTGTTGCCCAGACTGAGATGCAGTGGCACTATCATGGCTCATCGCAGCCTCGACCTCCTGGTCTCAGGTAATCCTCCTGTGTCAGCCTCCTGAGTAGCTGGGACACCACACTTTGCTAATTTAAAAAAAAAAAAATGTGTAGAGGCTGGGCGTGGTGGCTCAAGCCTATAATCTCAGCACTTCGGGAGGCTGAGGCAAGAGGATTGCCTGAGCCCACGGGTTCAAGATCAGCCTAGACAACATGGTGAGACCTCGTCTGTACAATAAATCAAAATATTAGCTGGGCGTGGCAACATGTGCCTATAGTTGCAGCTATTTGGAAGGCTGAGGCGAAAGGATTGCCTGAGCCTAGCAGGTTAAGGCTGCAACACTGGTGAGCATGTCACTGCACTCCAGCCTGGGCGACAGAGTGAGACTCCAACTCAAAAAAAAAAAATTTGTAGAGATAAGGTCTCCCTGTGTTACACAGGGTGGTTTCAAACTCCTAGGCAAGTGATCCTCTCACCTTTGTCTCCTAAGTGCTGGAATTACACACATGAGCCACCATGCCCAGCTTACCATATCATTTCTTACAACATACAATTTCTACAATTATCACCCCCCATTTTTTTAAAATATAGGGAAGGAGATGTCCTTCAGTGGGTGAATGGAGAAACTGGTACATGCGTACAGTGAACTATTACTTGGTCACAAAAAAGAGCAAACTATGGATACATGTAACAACTTGGAAGGATATCAAGGGTATTATGCTGAGTGCTCAAAACAATCCCAAAAGATTACATGCTATATGAATTTAATTTACATAACATTCTCAAAATAATATAATTATAGTAATGGAGAACTGTCACCCAGACTGGACTGCAGTGGCCGCAGCCTCGACCTGCTGGGCTCTGGTGATCCTTCCGCCTCAGCCTTCCGAGTAGCCGGAATTACAGGCACGCGCTACCACGCCTGGCTGATTTTTTGATTTATTGTAGAGATGAGGTCTCGCTGCCCAGGTGGGTCTCGAACCCGCGGGCTCAGGCAATCCACTCACCTCAGCCTCCCAAAGGCACGGTATTACAGGCTGAGCCACCGAGCCTGACTGGGACTTTTTTTAAAGTCAGAGTTTCACTCTATCACCCAGGTTGGAGTGCAGTGGCATGCTCATAGCCACCACAGCCTTGATCTGCTGGGCTCAGGTGATCCTTCTGCCTCAGCCTTCCTGGTTGCTGGAACTACAAGTGTGTACCACCACACCTGGTTAATTTTTTGATTTATTGTAGAGATGATGTCTCACCATGTTGCCCAGGCTGGTCTGGAACCCACAGGCTCAGGCAATCCTCTTGCCTCAGCCTCTCAAAGTGCTAGGCTTACAGGTGTGAGCCAACACGCTTGGCAAGAGGGAGATTTTTGTGGTGATGGAACAGTTCTGTTTCTGGAATTTGTAATGGTTATATAAATTAATACATATGATAAAATTTCATAGTACTATTCACCAACCAACCAAAAAAGAAAAAAAGTAACATAAAAACTGGTGATGCCTGGGTGCAGTGGCTCACCCCTAAAATCCTAGATTCCAAAAGCTTGGGCAAAAACCTAACTTGACAAGACTCAGGAATGCATGCACATACATGCTATTCCGGTTTACTTCAAGAAAGGGAAGTAGTGGGGAAAGCACCAATAATTTTCAGTTCTGGGTGGTATTATTTCCTTGACATATATATGCTAGTGAAAAGACTTAGGTGTCAAAATTAAAGAATGGGGTCATAGACTTAACTCAGCTATACAGCTAAAAAAGCTCCCTTAATCTACTGACTATGCAGTTTACTTAGAATTAAACAGCCTATATAAACCTCGAAAAAAACAGAAGAATACTATATTTCCCCCTGTCCCAAGTTATTTACCTTTCTTTCTTTTTTTTTTTTTTTTGAGTTGGAGTCTCACTGTCGCTCAGACTGGAGTGCAGTGGCCGCTCCTGGCCACTGCAGCCTCGCCTGCTGGGCTCCAGCGATCCTTCCGCCTCAGTCTTCCAAGTAGCCGGAATTACAGGCATGCGCTACCATACTCAGTTGAAATTTTTTTTATTTATTGCAGAGATGAGGTCTCGCTGCCCAGGTGGGTCTCGAACCCGTGGGCTCAGGCAATCCACTCACCTCAGCCTCCCAAAGGTGAGGGATTATAGGCTGAGCACCGAGCCTGGCTACTTTGCTTTTCAAAATGCAGATGACAAGCAGCATCCCAGTAGGAGATCACATTTAAATAACAGCAAGTAAATGCTCAGTGGTTGGGTATCAATCTTTTCAGTTTAACAAAGTAACTTCTTTTGCCCTATAAACTATGGTCAGAAATTTTACTTTAGCTCCATGTGGTAATGAGGGAAGTTTTTCCAAACTCAAGTCCTCTTACAGGATGCCAAATGTGTGCTCCATTTTGCTTTACCTTTTACAAATCTCAGGTCATACAATGCTGTTGAAAAGGCTCATGTGCTCATGACTAATATCCTTAGGTTATAAACTCCAAAAGTAGAAATGTCTTCTTTAAATCAGCAATGTAAATAAATAATCCTCTTAGCAGCTTGTTACAGAACCACACACAGAGATATAGTAGCTAAGTATTAACTGATATTGAGGATGAAGTTGCCAGGTTTTGTGAGCAACTGTCTGTATGTACTAGGGGGAAGGATGGATTTGAAACCCTCATTGCTGGTAGAGGCACCATGCCTGTTGGATAGGGCAGATACTGCAGAGAGGAAATCTTCCACTGAGGCAATTGGGACTTCTTTATTGACTGCTTGTTTTGTATATCTTGGCCCTGAAGCATCTCCTTCAGGTCTTTCCAGGATGCTAAGAGACTATGAAAGGGCTCTTACCTCCCTCTTCTAATCCATCTCACTTATTCTGAGAAAGGCCTTACCGTATAATTGGGGTTTCCTGGCTGGATACGTAACTCTGCCAAAATCCAAATGCCATTAGTGAGCTTCAAGGATTGGTACAGCATGTCTTGTCCTTCTACATTCCTCTTGGCAATAGTATAAACATTGTTGTTCTGCAACTTGCTGGAAACAGTGTCTAAAATACAGATTAAAAATCCAATACCTTCAGTTAAAATCTCAAACAACTGCCTGCTCTCTTCTGACATCCTTATGAGCCACGTGTGCTCGAATTCCTTGACAATTACCATTATATAAGTACATGCACATTTCAGAAAGCCCCTTTCCCACACAATAGCAAAAGGTAAGGAACAGGCTCATGAAGTACCTGCCTATCAGATTCCAGGACAGAAAACAGAGTGAGTAACACTTAAGCATTAGTGCAAGAGTTACCTGAAGAGATATTAAATAGGGAGACCTAAGGAGTTGGTAATCTCACACTAGGTGCCAGACAGGTAAAAGGCTCTGAAGAGGATGAAAATGGGTGTGTGCTCCAGTGACTGTATGTTGGTGTACATTTCTGTAATGCTGGTCCCAGATCAACGGGGATACCCAGACTGACAATCAGATATACAATGCTACTTTCTCATGACACTAAGACACTAATAGTTCATTGTGAGCCACTTGAGTCTCAACTGCCGGAATCAGAAAAGGGAACAGAGTTGCAGAAGTCAAATGCAAGTCAAATTTATTAACCTAGATGTTTAAGATTCTTTTTTTTCAAAGCAGGCAAATGATTTCTTAAGCCTTTAGGGAATACTATACCTCCAAAATAATAGTGCAACAAACTGTCTTAACCAAAGACTTTGAGTTTCATAGGACTCAGGAGCTCACACACACATACATGCTATCACAGCTTACTTCAGGAGAGGAAACTAGACTGAAGTCATGAAAAGTGATTGCTGCTAGGCCCTGAAATTCCAGCTGCTGCTGCTGGTCATGATAAAAGCCTTCACACAGTCATCAACTCAGGGTAGGAACAGGTTGGTGTTTTGGTTCTTTCTCATGACTATGGTATCAAAAAGACATGGTGTTCCAGAATTAAAGATCATTTCTCTCTTTTTGAGATGTTGCAGCATCAGAGAAACTTTAAGAATAGAGATAACAAACACTGCTTCTTTGTTGACAGTTTATTATATTCATTTCTGATGAGAGAATTCAAATTACTCGTGCCTACATTAGGAACTAAATTCTCTCCATGTAAAATTCTGTCATATTCTATTGTGCTCTCTAGGAAAAGGTTACCATAATGAATGGTGTTTCTACCCTCCTAAATGATAAGCTCTCTGAGTACAGGGATTTTGGAGTTTTTCCCACAGTGTCTGGGGGACACAACAGGTACCTGTCATCAATATCTGTGGAACAAGCCTCTGACAGGTGTTAGAGATGCCAATAGTTACAAAATGCCATAGACATTAAAAACCATCTACTTGCCGGGCTCGGTGGCTTAGCCTGTAATCCCACACTTTGGGAGGCTTGAGGTGAGTGGATTGCCTGAGCCCATGGGTTCCAGACCTGCCTGGGCAACTTGGCGAGACCTCATCTCTACAATAAACCAAAAAATTAGCTGGGTGTGGTAGCATGTGTCTGTAGTTCCAGCTACTTGGAAGGCTGAGGCGGAAGGATCGCTGGAGCCCAGCAGGTAGAGGCTGTGGTGACCGGGAGCAGCCACTGCACTCCAGTCTGGGCAACAGAGTGAGACTCCAACTCAAAAAAAAAACAAAAAACCAAAAAACACAAAACAACTCATCTACTTAGATATGAGCTACTTTTGGAGGTGGTTCTTGCCCTGATGTCCTTCTCCGACATTCAAATCACAGATAGCTCAGGGAAGGAGGTACTAAGGTTCCTTTCACTAAACACTTTTACCAGTTAGTTATTACTTAACGTTTCCCCCTTTTATTTGCAAGGTTTTCACTAACACCAAGCAGAGTAATTATAACTTAAAACATAGCTCTATTTGAGGAGACAAAAAAAAAAAAATGTACCTCAGGGTAATACTGCCAGAGGAAGGGTCCTCAATATGCTTTTTTTTTTTTTGAGTTGGAGTCTCACTATGTCACCCAGACTGGAGTGCAGTGGCCACTCCTGGTCACTGCAGCCTCGACCTGCTGGGCTCTGGCGATCCTTCCGCCTCAGCCTTCCAAGTAGCTGGAACTACAGGTGCACACTACCATGCCCGGCTGATTTTTTGATTTATTATAGAGATGAGGTCTCGCCAAGTTGCCCAGGAGGGTCTCGAACCTGCGGGTTCAGGCAATTCACTCACCTCAGCCTCCCAAAGGTGCGGGATTACAGGCTGAGTCACCGAGCCTGGCCTCAATATGCTTTTTAATCACTTTGTGGGAAGTTAGGCAGTTCTGACTGTCACCTGGGTTCCCACAATGAAAGGCTCTTGCAGCTCTGATTAGGTTGCTAGGCGACATCACCAGCTAGAGTTTGGCTAATGCCTTTGGACAGGATTGCCAGGAACACAAAGGAGCTTGCTTTAAGTTGTAAATGCCATTCCTAACTTTCAAAGCTCTTGTTCACTTCCCAGGAAAACAGAAAACATACACAGTAGGAGCCTTTGTTGAAGAGCTACCTTGTTGCATAGGCATAAATACATCCCAGACTATATATAGAGCAAGGCCCAGATTCCTAGACTTTTTATGGTTATTTCACCAGCTATGTAAGACATGACAGGCTAAGAAACAGTCTCTCTTTCTCTGCCCCCCTAGAATTAGAAAACATGGAAAACGTGGCAAAGAGCCAGGAAGAATAATCAAGTTGAATAGATGTAATTTTTTTTTTTAGTCAAGAGTCTCACTCTGTTGCCCAGGCTGGAGTGCAGTGGCACATTCACAGCCACCGAAGTCTTGACCTGCTGGACTCAGGCAATCCTTTCGGCTCAGTCTTCCAAGTTGCTGGAACCACAGGCACACGCCACCATGCCCAGCTAATTTTTTGGTTTAGAGACGAGGTCTCGCCAAGTGGTCCAGGCTAGTCTCAAACCCCTGGGTTCAGGAAATTCTCTCACGTTGGCCTCCCAAAGTGTTGGGATTACAGGCATGAGCTACTGCACCCAGCTGAATGGAAATAATAATTTTAATACATATGGAAGCATTCCAGCCAGGAACTTGGCTCTGCTCCTACTAAATGACAGTATTTGTATTTTTATCAGAAGATTAAATGAAAGGAGGACTCTATAACATGAGTATGTATGAATCAGGTTTCATACTTTTTAGATGTTAGGTTTGAGTTTAGGGATTTTTAGATTGCAGAATAACCAGACTCTGCTAAATTCACTGATTAAGAATGGCAATGGAAACCAGAGATACAAGGTAGCTTCTCAGCCAGAATGGGATACAATTTTTGACATCATTGTTTGTTTGTTTGTTTGTTTTTGAGTTGGAGTCTCACTCTGTCCACCCAAGCTGGAGTGCAGTGGCACAATTACAACTCACTGCAGCCTTGACCTCCTGGGCTCAGAATAATAAGCCTTCTTCCTCAGTCATGCAAGTAGCTGGGACTACAGGTATGTGCCACCACACCCAGCTAATATTTTGATTTTTTTGGTAGAGACAAGGTCTCACTATGTTGTCTAGGCTGATCTTGAACTCCTGGGCTCATGCGATCCTCCTGCCTCAGCCTCCCAAAGAGCTGGGACTGCAAGCATGAGTCACTGTGGCAGGTTATTCATTACTGATTTCAAACCCACTATAACTTCTGAAAATAACACTTTTTATCCTTTAAGCAAACAAGTTAGGGGCTGGCTGAGAGTTTCTACTTCTGAAATGTTCCCAAGGACAGAGTCACAACAAAACAATGTAATACAACTCACCCTCACCTAGTCCTCATGGTAGAAGAAATACTTGTCTCTTGTTATAGTACCTAACTAATGAAAATAGACACACCTAGCCTCTGAATATAATAAACAGAACATAATAAACACTTAGTTTAAAAAATACATTTGTAGAACTGCTTGCCACAAAGATTCCTTTCTGGACATGGCTGGAGATGCAACTACTTCTAGTGTGCTTACAAAAGTAGTTCCAGATGAATATTAACCCCAAATGCAGGTGTAATATGCAAAACAGATTCATATAGACCCTTAGACACCTGCAAAAATGATCAGTGCTAGAAAGCAGGGAATCCTGTCCATTAGTACTTTTCTGATCTAACATTTTCTCGTACTTACACAATTAATGGCACCACAATCATATACACTTTTCTATTCATATCTGACTAATTATTAAGATTTAGGAGGAGGGTCTCTTTCTTCTTTATTCTCTACAAAGAGACGTAAGAGCAAGAGTAAGAAGCTCAGTACTAGGTTGGTAAGTCCTTTAAGTCTGTGACTTCCTGTAGCCCTCAGAGCGTTAGACCCATCTGTCAAATGTCTATGCCAGCACAGAAAAGCTATTTAAAGTGTTGGTGCTATCGTGATTAGGACAGATCAGCTGGAAAGGATGGTATTTTTAGCTCTCAGCTAGACCCAGGGTGTTGAATCAGAAGGCACTAAACCTAAAAACGCTCATGTATAATAGAGCCCTCAAGATTGGAAGAAAATGTAAAGGCCAGGACACTCCAGACCTTGGGATGGACTCAAAGGAAAGCTAGAAAGGATTCACTGCACAAAGTGGTCTTGCAAGATTAGCAGTGAATTAGTATGGGGAAATGAGGGCCCTGGGCTCCTGGAGAAAACAAAGTGGGTGTTTATTCCTATGTTCCAGGTGCTACCCCTAGCCATACAGCACAGAGTAATGATCATTGGAAATCTGATTTGTTGGGATGTGGAGCACCCAAGGCAGGGAGAGACTGGCATGAGGCCATGGCAGAACTGACCAAAACCGAATCTGCTCTGAGAAACTACATCAGAGAACTGGGAGAAAGGCCAGGCATTTCCTTGTTGGCAAGATCACAAACATACGCCAAGGTGCAATAAGGGTTCAAAACTCCAATCTGGAAGCAGGGGGATCTTTTCTTTCTATTATTTTGGTAGGTAATACTAAAGCCCTCAGTAATCCAAACTCAATTTTTCTTTTATGAAAAAGTATGTCCCTTTCATACCAGATACCTCTGAAGCCAAACCTGCTTTCCAACTACTCTGGCCTGTCTCTGCTTTCTTAGGCCAGAGTGTCCCAGATCATGTTCAAGAAACACTGGTGGTACGCAAGATATTAACAATAAGCACTTCATGATGTTAAATTCCATGGCCAAATAAACGCTGCTAACACTGAGTTAAACAGGTTTCTTCAAAGTAGGACTTCTCAGGGCTGTAAGTATGCTAATGTGCAATGGAAACTTCTAAGAGAGGCATATCATATGCAGTATCTTTCAACTTTGACCATAACCCTCCCACCTTTTTTTCCCCCCGAGTAAAAAGTATAATAAGTGTAAGTAATCAGGAGCATATTTGTTACCATTGGACCAACTACTACAAGGGTGACTATAACCAGAGGCCTGGTCTCTTCCCTGCTGGGCGCAGAGGCTGCTTCTCTAACAGGATCCACTTAGGTTCTCACCACTGTGGATTCTGCATCTGATGGCTTCCTAAAGAACAGCTTATACTGTAGAAAGCTGCCCAACCTCCTGTATTCACCAAATGAGGGTCACGCAACTGACAGTGTCATCTGTCTCAAGAAAGGGACAGATGACACTGTGAGCTACTTATGAGCAATGGCATAAAATGAAGAGAATCAACTAACTAGTTATTACAGTGGAAATTATAGAAGACTTTCCCTCAAATACCTCTCCAAGGGCTCAGGAGAGATGAGACAATCATTACCAGAGGCAAATGTCTGTCTCAAGTTCCTATATACAAAGATGCCAGTCTGTCTTGTATTTCTGAGGGTTCAATCAGGGTTTCAACCTACTGAATGTTTCAGAGAGGGCCTAAAGGATCATCATATTTAAAAGAAGCATCACAAGAAGAAGTCAAAAACTACCCTGCTGGATTTTAAAAGTCCTATAATATTTGTCTGAACACATAAGATGAATACAACATAGAGGCCTAAATAAATTAAAAACCAAAAAGTTAGAATGAGAAGGCAGCTTGGTTTTTTTCTTTCTGTATACCTCCTTTCCCCAATGCTATGCTTCAGCTGCGACAGGAGGATGGCAGTGTGCTGAAAACCCCTTATGAGAACCATCAGTGTATGGAGGAGAAAACAAGAAAGAGGAGGTATTGACCAAGTACCAAAGCTCACTTCATTCAAACTCATAAAGCCTTGTACTAACATGGGGTGGGGCTAGGATGGGGTTGAGGGAACTGGAACAACAGCAGGACCATGAACAGCTTAGGGCTCCTTCCACTCCTGGGGAAAACGTCAGGGAAACAAAGCCCTAGGCACTGATAGCTTTTACTGTTTCTCCTCTTGGGAGACTCCTTTTATGCTCTATTAACAGGGATAAAATAAACTACAAAAGGGTCTGGGGATTTTTAAGGGTGATTAAAGAAGTCTTTATCATCTTATGCAAGCTAACTGGGCAGTAAAGAAACAAGGCTTTAATGAACTAAGATGTATTCTTTAGTTATAAACACACGATTTAAATAAAGAACCTCAGGAAAAAAGACGCTGTCCCTCCAATGCCAAAGGTTGATATAAAAGAAGAAAGGATCCTTTTAATAGTTAAGAGTGTGTGTATTCTCAAGTGTCACTTTAACTAATTGATGCTTAGGATGTTTAAGTATCATGACTACCACATCTTCAGCTACTGATAGATGGATCGATTCTAGTTTCTTTCTTAAATCTGTTACCCTGTTAATAATCTAGTGCCTACATCAAACCATACCAAGTTCTTAAAAAGAGGTATACCAGCCGGGCTCGGTGGCTCAGCCTGTAATCCTGCGCCTTGGGAGGCTGAGGTGAGTGAATTGCCTGAGCCCACAGGTTCGAGACCCACCTGGGCAATTTGGTGAGACCTCATCTCTATAATAAATCAAAAAATCAGCCGGGTGTGGTAGCGCATGCCTGTAATTCTGGCTACTTGGAAGGCTGAGGCGGAAGGATCGCCGGAGCCCAGCAGGTCGAGGCTGCGGTGGCCAGGAGTGTGCCACTGCACTCCAGTCTGGGCGACAGAGTGAGACTCCAACTCAAAAAAAAGAGGTATACCAAGTAATGTATCTACTTTATACCCACTGGAAACATGATAGATATGGAAAAAAGAGGTAGGTAAAAGAAAGATAAAAATTTCAAATATCCAATTTGATTTATTATGATGAAAATAAAATTCAGAGTTTGTTACTCACCTGCATTTAAATGACATTCCTTAATCTGAAACTGAAGTTCATTTTCATTGGGAATATCCTTCCATGTTGCAAGGAAGACCTGGCGCTCTGTATGGGGAAGCAAAGGAGAAGGATGGATGGGCACAATCTGTCAGTATTCTGGTTTCTGATGCTTTGCACCATTTCTCCTTTGGCATACTGGCTCTTGCAATACAACTAGTAGTAGGCTGGAACTGGAGCCAATTCTTAACTATACAGAAGTACTGTACTCCAGGTCAATTAATCCCTCATCAATAGCACTACGGTATACCAGAAAAGAGTTTACATCTAGGGTTTCATTTTAGCTCTCCCTTTTTCCCATTTTAGTGACTTTGGTAAGTCTTGTGACCTTTCTGAGTCATGATTTCTTCACATATTATTACACACATATAATGCCCTGCCTACCCAAAGAGCTATTGTGAGAAATCAATTAAGTGCCAACACAGTTTAATATGCATCAGTGTAAGACAGTTTTATTAGATGGTGACTTCATATGTAAGAGAGAAATGGCAATAACTGCTTTAAGAGTACTAATGGCTTATTACAAATCACAGAATTCATTTTTTCTTTTGAGTTGGAGTCTCACTCTGTCACCCAGACTGGAGTGCAGTGGCATGCTCACGGCCACTGAAGCCTCGACCTGCTGGGCTCAGGTGATCCTTCAGCTTTCAGTCTTTCAAGTAGCTGGAACTACAGGAGCGCACCACCATGCCCAGCTAATTTTTAAATTTATTGTAGAGATGAGGTTATGTCAAATTGCCCAAGCTGGTCTTGAAACCTTGAGCTCAGGCAGTCAATCCTCTTGCCTCTGCCTCTCAAAGTGCTGGGATTACAGGCATGATCCACTGTGCCCAGCTTACACATTACTGATGCAGTATTATCTTGATGCTGTATAGAATTTAGTACAGGGTGAAGGGCTGAATTTACATGTATTATCTCAGTAAGTCATTATAAAAACTATTTACAGTTTGGCAACTTGGAAACTGAAACTCAAAAAAGTTAAGCACCTTGTCCATGATCACACAGCAAATAAATGGCAAAGCTGAGATTCAAATCTGTGTCTACCTGTTCCCAAACCTCTTACTCTTTATCCTGGGGTAATTAGATTATTCAGATAATGGGTGTTGTGACTTTTTCTTTCATATCTGGAAGATGAACAGGTAGGAGCATTATGATGTAGAGCCCAATGGCAGAGCAAGAACAATCATGACTCAGGAGAATAAAAAATGAACAAATGCCGGGCTCGGTGGCTCAGCCTGTAATCCCGCGCCTTTGGGAGGCTGAGGTGAGTGGATTGCCTGAGCCTGCAGGTTCGAGACCTGCCTGGGCAGCGAGATCTCATCTCTACAATAAATAATAAAATCAGCTGGGTGTGGTAGCGCGTGCCTGTAGTTCCAGCTACTTGGAAGGCTGAGGTG